GGTGTCAGAAATCCTGGGACTAGAGTTACAGGCAATCGTGAGCTGACATGTGGGTGCTGGGAACTGAACCTAGGTCCTCAGCAATAACAGCCAGTGCTCTTCAACCTTCGAGCCATCTCTCCAGTCCCCTCATGGCTGGTTTCAAACGAGAGAAATGAAAATTCCTGCTGACCACTTTTTGAGATTATTTAAATTTTTTTCTTTTTAGATTTATTTATCTATCTATCTATCTATCTATCTATCTATCTATCTATCTATCTATTTATTAAACACACATGAACGTTTTGCCAGCAGGAATACATGTGCACCATACACATGCCTGGTACCCAAGGAGCTCAGAAGAGGGTATCAGACCCCCTGAAACTGGAGCTCCAGTCGTGAGCCACCAGGTAGATGCTGGGAACAGGTGTTGGCAGGCACTGTTAACCAGGGACCAATCTCTACAGCCCCCACTTTGGAGTTAGTTTGTGTGCATCTATGCATCTAAAGTATTTAAAACTTCTGATTTGGCCAAGGAACTACTGGTAACTGATAGCTGCTGGATGAGGAAGACCCCGTTCTCTTTAAGAATATAGTAGTCCCTGACATGGACTCTGTTGCCTGCTTTTTAATCACTTCCCTCTATCGGGGCTGCCTTGCCCTGCCTCGGTGGAAGAGGATTCGTTCAGTCCTTGATGTGCTGGGGTAGGTTCATAGGGGATGGCTCCCCTTTTCTGAGGAGTAGGAGAGTTGGCATAGGAGGAAGAGGGAGAGAGGGAGGGACTAGGTGGAGAGGAGGGAGGGGCCTACAATCAGAATGTAAAGAGAATGAATGAATGAATGAATGAATGAATGAATGAATGAATGAATATAATGTCTATAAAGTTGGCTATGCTGCAGTGGAAGGCCACCCATCCAAAAATACATAAACAGCACAAGTTGGTCTTGATGGGGGAGGGGGAGTGAGTGGAGGAAGTGAGTCTGGGAAGGAGCTGGGGGGGTGTAAATATGATCAAAACACATTGTAGGAAATTCTCCAAAAGAAAATAATAATAATTAAAATGTTGCTTTAATCTTACAATTGAAGAATTAGAAGAAACTTCAGAGGTTGGCCATCTACCTGTTCGTTCTGTAAATATTAACTGACTCGGCGTGGTCTCTGCACTGCTCTAAGTGTCGTGGGCACAGCAATGAGCAGAATCTAATGTCTCAGTTAACCCTCCAAGGGAGTGCAGAGCCACACATGGCAAACAACTGAACCATAGCGGCCATGTCTGCAGAGGCTGGTGGAGGTCCTGAAGACAATAGAGGAAGACAGTGCTGGGCTGGAAGAGGTTGGAGGGCCAGGGAAGGTACCTCAAATGGGCTGTCGATGAGCAAAGACCTGAAATCTGGAAAACAAGACTTAACCTGGCTTCCATGAGAGGCGCTAGCATGTGCAAATTACATGTGAGTGGGGCCTGAAAGGCCTTTGCCCGCTTGGTCCTCTGGAGCAAGTCACCCCCAACTACGAGACTTACGCACAAACATTCATTTCTCCCAGTTTGGGAGGAGAATATCAGGACCACAGCGCCAGCAGACCCCGTGTCTGGGGAGGGCTCTCCTCTTGATTTATCTGCAGATGTCTGCTTGTGTTCTCACAGGGAGCACTGAAAGAGGCCAAACAGCTAAGAAAGTGAGGCCCTGACCCTGTTACTGCTTAGAGTGTGCTCTGTGTTTTCTTCTGCCTCCGTTCTTGTACTCAAGCAACAAGCTTTGTCAGAAAACAGAAGGAGGCCACAGGGCAGAACTTTTACAGACTAGAAAACCTCTATGACTAAACCCAGCTAGCGGCGTCTGAGATTGCTACAGAATGACAAAGACCAGGGGAAAGCTCATCCCATAAAGTGCCCTGCCTGAGGCCCTAGAATTAATAATTGTCAGTCAAAAATCGTAGCATCTTTGCATAGGCTCAGGGAAATGGCAAAGCCTTCCCTCCTGGTCTGAGCGCAAATGTTGGTAGTTCAGGTCCATGTGGCTTTCGCTCACCCCACCCCAGCCTCAAGACTGCTGCCCTATAGGAAGGACTCCTAGCTAAACCTACCTTCTTTTCCTGCCATGCCCTCCCTGTTGGGCTGTGTATAATAAACAGGCCGAGCTTTCCCGGTTGCTGCAGCTTCTCCATCGGAGAGCCCCGCCCACCCAATCCCAGCTCTCCTCTACGCCTTTGTCCTTCGCTGCCCCAATCGGGTCCGCCCTGGGAGCCGTGCTGGACGCCACACTTTGTGCTTTCAGCTGGAATACCCACAGCTCCTCAGACTGACATTTGTTTAAAACGATAATTTACTGGGCTGGATAATTCACTGGTTACGAGCACTTGCTGCTCTTTCGGAGGAGTTGTGTCAGTTCCCAGTACCCACACATTGGCACACACACCTCTGTAACGCTACTCTTGAGGATCTCACACTCTCTTCCGGTCTGTGTGAGCACCAGGCTTTCACATGAAGCACAGGCCTACGTGTGGACAAAACACAAATACACACAAACAAATAACTATGATATGTTGCTCCATTCCTGGGCTAAATCACCACCGGCTAGGCTACAGGGAAGAAAAAACTCCTTTGAAACTGTGCCCAGGAACAATGGACAGCTACCAAACTTTAGCCCACCCCCAATAGTCAACGGAAGCCCTTTGCTAAGCCAGCAGGCCCATCATCATTTTGATCGGTGTTAACTTCCTTCCGTCCCACTATAGGAGCCTAGCCTGTCTCATTCACAGTACAGGGTTTGCTCTTACAGCTACTGTTTCAACTAGACCCTGCTGTCAGGTATCACGGTGAAGAGATGAGGGGAGAAAGCTTCCTCCAGACAATACTCTCCCCCTCCTAAGAGCTCTTGATCTAATTAGCCTCAGGATGTGGTCAGATGTGATTTTATAGACTTCTTTCGATTTGGACTCACTCTAAAGCAGTGGCAGGTGACCTTGGGAAAAGTTGGTATGGGAAACTGCTTAGGTTAAGCAGAATAATTGCGCCTTGATTCACTTGTTAGTGTCAGACCAGCTACCATCCAACAGCCATATTTTGCCCCCTGTGGTTATAACTAAGAGTTGCCTGGGGGTGCTGGTGGAGTACTCCTTTAATCCAAGTACTGGGGAGGGAGGCAGAGGCAGTTGGGATCTCTGAGTTTCAGGCCAGCCTGCTCTTCAGAGCAAAGTCCCAGGGCAGCCAGGGCTACACGGAGAAACCCTGGAAACAAAACAAAAACAAACAAAGAAAGAAAATAAAAAACACCACCACCAACAAAAAAGTTTCCTGGATTGAATCCCAGCTTCCGTGACTTTGATGAATTTAGGCACTCCCCTTCTTAGCCTGTTGCCTCACCTTTCGATTTAGGACCATGGTACCCATTTTTAGAGGGATGCTCTGAGGACTAAAGAAATTCATTTAAGAGAAGCACCTTGAACAGTATGGGCACCTGATGAGTGACAGTGTATTTTGTATTAACCCTGCCATTATTTCACTCATTCATTCAGCCAAGCAACTCACATTCACAGATACATGCTGTGGGACTGTAGAAACTTCTCTGCCATAGTAACAGAATCTGAACGTAAAATTCTAGCTGAGGAACATTCACAAAAGCTCTAACAATGGCTGAACTTTAAATCCATATTAATTTGCATTCTTTATCCAAACCACGATGAATTGAAAGAACCAAAACCAAAATAAAAACAAGTATACGGTGAGTATACACCTTTAATCCTTGCACTTGGGAGGCAGAGGTAGGCAGATCTCTGAGTTCGAGGCCAGTCTGGTCTACAGAGTGAGTTCCAGGATATCCAGGGCTACACTGAGAAACCCTGTCTAGAAAACACAACAACAAAACCTGCTTTAACCTCCACCCTTGCTCTTTTGCCATTCTCTAAAATTGTGTTTTCTAGGCATTCCTTGTGGATTTTTCTTCTAACTTTAGTGCAGCCTAAAAGAAAATGATTAATCCTCATTTTTTTAATTTAATTTTTATTTTATGTGCACTGGTATTTTTCCTGCATTTGTCTGTGTGAGGACATCAGATGCCCTGGAACTGGAGTCACAGTTTTGAGCTGCCATGTGGGTGCTAGGATTTGAACTCAGGTTGTCTGAAAGAGCAGTCGGTACTCTTAACCACTGAGCCATCTCCTCAGTCCCTAATTCTCATTTCTAAAAAGGCATTTTTGTTTTAATAATGTGTGTATCTGTTAGTAGATGCACTGTGAGCGCAGGTACCTGTAGGGGCCTCATTTTTCTCTGTAGCCAGAGTTGTAGGCGGTTGAGGGCCGCCTGACTGTGTCGCAGACTGAAAGAACGTGGGTCCTCTGTGACAGGAGTAGTACCAGATCTTAGTTGCCGAGCCATCTCTCTAGCCCCTAATTTTCATTTTTTTAATACAGGGTCTCATGTATCCCTGGCTTCCTTCATTCCCTAAGTAGCTGAGGATGACCTTGCAATCTCAACCTTCCTGCCTCTACTCTGTAATATTCGGGTTGCACTTATGAATATTATGGAGCTATGGGTAACATACCTAAGTTCTTCTAAGACAGGCCACCTGAACCAGTTCCCAGGCCCCTGCATAATTTCTGTTGTTTTCTTTGAGACAAGGTAAGCCTCAGGCTTGTCCCAAACAAGTAATCCTCCTGCCTCAGCCTCCTGAAATACAGGGATTACAGCTCTGTGCTGCCATACCTGAGTCCCTTATTAATCCTCATTCATTTGGGCCATCATAAGAATACTGAGATAGGTGGGGAGATCTGGGAGGAATTGGAGGGGGAAAACATGATCAAATAAAGTCTATAAAATTATTTTCAATAAAAAAAGAATGTTGAGATAATGAAACTTGCTTGTATATGTGGAAGAGAAAACAAAAGTTTGGTGATAGTAGCGGCTGCTCACCACTAGGGGCCGGTAGCGTAATACAAAGCATTACAGCAGGACGGATAAGTTTGATCCTCTGAGACTCCCGTAGCGCGGTACGGCTAGCCGAAGGTCCCACGTGCTGCTTCCGGTTACACTAGGAAACACGAGTCTAAACTGCCGCGGGGACCTGGCTGTGACTGACGGAGGCCTCGGTTTTCTAAGAACTGCTCGCGGGGGAACCCATCTGCAGCCACCATGTCCGGCAGGAACAACAACAAGCTGCCCAGCAACCTGCCACAGTTACAGAACCTGATCAAGCGGGACCCGCCGGCCTACACCGAGGAGGTGGGACGGGGATCCGGCTCACCGGGGTCCCCGCCGTAGGCTTCCGGGGACCCTCGGGAGGGGCAGAGGTGGGGAAGGAACGTTCCCGAGGAGTCGTTTCGCACGGCTTGCAAACGTGCTGCCCCGCAGACCCCTCTCCATCCCTGAAAACATCACTTTTAAACTTGTTGCTTCTGGGTTTATGTCGCCGAGGTGGAGAGCTCCGGTCCAAGAGGCTGCGCCCAGCCGCCGGCCACCTCTTATCAAAACCGCGAATTAGTCCCTAACGTGATGAATCTTGTGTTAAAAGTGCTTTCCACAGACGGCGGCTCCCGAGTGCCTCAGAGAGCTCTGCCACGGCCACGAATGTAGAAGGCGAGGTTAAGCCAGAGTTCAAACTCACTGGGAGCCAGCTAGAGCTGGATTTGAGAAAATGCTTTGGGAAAAGACGAGGTCGAAGATTATGTTAGATTCACTTTGTGAGGGACTTAGCCCTTAAGCAGTGTGAAAAGAGACGAGATGAAGGCGATGACTTTGTACTCTTGACCTGGCAGATACTTAAGACGTTTGCCTTGGAAGCATTAAACCATCATCTCAACCTGCTGCCCTTCGGCATTATGACTTTTTTTTCAGCCCATTTTTTTTATTGTCCTTCTCCCCTAAATTTATCTTACCTTTACATATGAATATTTATGCGGTTGTTTTTTCAATACCTAAGGTGACCAATAGAGAGTGACAAACTAGTACAACAAAGTCGCAGCAGGCAAGGCTTTCTCATGTGAAGCCATTCACAAAGGAGTGAATGAATAGCTCTTGCAGTTCTTTTTCTGTTATTAATTTTTCGAGTTAGCATGCAGAGTTTTATTTCAGCACTTTTCATACACATGTGCTGTGTTTTGTTCTTATTTGTCCCCCACAATCTTCCCGGCCCACCCCCCTTACTGGTTCCCTTCTTCTCCCCAAACACACCCACTTCTGTATTCATGTCATGTATATTTCAGTTCCCTGCATCCCTTTAAGAGCTCTTCTTCCAGGGCTGGGGAGTTGGCTAGTGGCTAAAAGCACTGGCTGTTCTTCCACAGGACCCTAGTTCGGTGCCCAGCATCTTCGTCATAGCTCATAACCATCTGTAGCTGTAGTTTCAGGGAATCCTACACTCCCTTCTGAACTCTGGACACCAGGCCCATGTGTAGACCTACATATAAGCCGGCAGGCAGTCAGTACACAAAAAAGAAGAATCCCTTCCCATGTTCCCCTGTCCAACTTGTGTGTCAAACGTAAATTTAAATAAAAATTCTGCTTATGAGAGGAAACATGGGCTATCTTTCTGAGGCTGGCTTAACGTAATGATTTCCTTACATTGTCATGGTTTCATTGTTGCTCATGACTGAAAAAAATGTGTGTTTGTACTGTATTTTCATCATACTTTCTTCTGGTAATGAACATCTAGGCTAGTTTTTTGTTTGTTGTGTTTTTCTTCTTGGCTGTCATGAGTAGTGCACCAATAAATATAAATGTGCAAGTATATCCAGGGTATTTGGTTGGAGTCCTTTATTGTTCTGTTCCCAGGAAAGGTATGGCTATGCCATATCAAAGTTCAGTTTTTAGTAGTTTCCATAATGGCTCTGTCAGTCTACATTCCCACCAATGATATAGATGTGGTTTCTATTTTCCCACATCTTGTTGTCATTTTTTTCTTCCTGCTGATAGCCATTCTGACCGAGGTAAGAGAGAATCTCAAATGATTTTAATTTGCATTTCCCTGGTGGCTATGGATGCTGCACACTTTTTCACATATTGGTTTTATTTTGTTTTGCTTGTTTTTTTTTTTTTTTGTTTTTTTTTTTTTTTTGGGTTTTTTTGTTTGTTGTTTGGTTTGGTTTTTCCAGACAGGATTTCTCTGTGTAGCCTTAGCTCTCCTGGATGCTTTGTAGACCGTGCTGTCCTCAAACTCAGATCCCACAAGCACTGGATCAAAGGCATGCGCCATTACACCTGGCTGGCATTTGTGTTTCTTTCAAGAGTTGTTTATTCATTTCGTTAGTCTGTTTATTGATTGGAAGATTTGTTTTGAAGTTTAGTTCATATAGTTCTTTATGTATTCTACCTGCGAATCTCCTGTCTGGTGAATAGTGGTGAAGCTTTTCTACCATTCTGCTGTTGGATAGGGTTTTGTGTTTTTTTTTCCCCCACTGGGATGATCAATCTCTCTCTCTTTGTTTCTTTCCTTCCTGTCTTCCTGCCTTCCTTGCCTTCCTTTCCTCCCCCCTCCCTCTCAATTCTTTTTGTACTGTTGGAATCCTTTCAGCCTGTGGTTAAGACTACTTGTTTTATAGCTGGCCTGAAGCTCTTGTTCTATTTTTGACCAATTTGTAACCAAGAATGGTTAAGTAACCTTTGTATTTTAACATTCAAGAAAGGTAATGTCCATCTCCTCCATTCACATCTGCCCACACACACTGCTCAGGTTGTATGTCAGTGTACTTACTTGTAAACACGGAGGATACAGGGACAAGTAAGACAGATAGCTGAGCTTTTGGACTTTGTGTCCTTCAGATCCACTTCACATTTGCTGGCTGGCCTGGCTTTTTTCTCCCGATATGCCCCTCATGCACAGGATATGTGACGGTACATGGTAGAACAAGGCCAGAATCCGAGTTTCAGACTCATGTTTTCTACCACACTCCTTAAAACTTCTGGTCTAAGGAATGGGTCTTCACGTGAGCCATGTGATGCTTGAGATTTTTTGCAGAGAAGGAAGATGGAATGCTTTAAGAGCTGATGATGTGACTCAGTAGAGGGTTTGCCTAGCATTCATGAAGCCTTGATTTTAAGCCCAGGACCGACAAAAAAGACTGTTCTTATATGCCTACGTCTGTTTCTCTGTGCCACTGGCAAAGGTGTGTGCCAGCTTGTTCCTGTGTCTAAGAGTGTGACAAACTCCGTTCTTTTCCCTACAGTTCCTCCAGCAGTATAGTCACTACAAATCCAATGTGGAGATTTTCAAGTTACAACCAAATAAGCCCAGCAAAGATCTGGCCGAGCTGGTGATGTTCATGGCACAGGTAAGAAGGTGATTTCTCAGAGAGACAGAGGTCGGAGCTACACATGATTTCCAAAAACACCCTCACCCCATTATTTCCCTCTTGTAGATTACTTCCCTCTTGTAGATCTTATTCCCTTCCTAAGCTGTGTTAGAGGACTTTGATGAATTGTAACACAGACAAACAGAACAAAAACCATCAAGAATTTTTTTTTTTTTTTTTTTTTTATTCATCATATAGGCAGGTTCTCAATTATGCCACAAACATTTTTATAAAAACTGTCAGAACAATGACAGTAGCAGAAACAGCCTCTAGGGAAAGCTGGTGCTTGAGAGTCACCTGCCTCTGAACCAACCGTTTCCTGAACATGCGAGTGTGCACCTGAAGTTAGGGGAGAAAGGCTGCGCCTGAGGACAGCTCTGCTCTGTTACAGATTGGCCACTGCTACCCAGAGCACCTCAGTAACTTCCCTCAGGAGCTGAAGGAACTGCTTTCCTACAACCACACCGTCTTGGACCCGGATCTCCGCATGGTAGGGGAGCCACACTGTCCTGTGCATGCGATGATAATGGGAGATGAGAGAGCACTTTCCTGCTAACCCGCTTTTTGGTGCCTGGGGGAGGGTAGAGATAGGATATGTGCTGTATTTTCTCATTTGATTGACTTCACCATTGTCTTCTGGTATGTCTTCCCCCTGCTCCCCCCAGACATTCTGCAAAGCCTTGATCTTGCTGAGAAACAAGAATCTCATCAATCCATCGAGTTTGCTGGAGCTCTTCTTTGAGCTCCTTCGCTGCCATGACAAACTTCTTCGGAAGGTGAGGAGCAAAGCTTGTCCCCTCCATCTTTCTTCCTGAGGTGACACAGCAAAGTTCTCAGCCTCATTTGATACAGTGAGAGATACAGCTAGTCCTTCTCTAGGAGGAAATGTTGTGCCGAGCAGTTTAGTGTTAATAATCAGTATTTGCTGAATGCCACTCTGGACTGGGCATTAATCTCAGAGTATATGCGTGTTCACAAAAGCCTGAGGTAGAGATTGTTAAAATCCTCATTGTAAATGCTTTAAGACAGGTTGAGGCACACGGTGAGGTACGTGTCTTAGGTCAGATGGCATCCGTGTGGTAGGCCTAGACTATAAGCGCAGGCAGTCTGGTTCGAAGACCCAGTCTCTTCACGACTGCGTGTGTTGAATGATTACATGAGGGAGGCACAGACACTTTTAGCTGGAACCAAACCTGCACAATAAAAGTTAAATTTTGTTGCTATTAGCATTTTTCCATGACTTTATGTTTGCTTATTTAAGACCAAGAGCTGAAGGCTTATGAACCAAATTTCAGAAAGAAAAATTTAAGTTTGTATTCATTAAGTTAATCCCCTCACACCAATTATTAAGAGACTGGTACTAGCATTAAGAGACTGGTACTAGCACGTGGGAGGCAGAGGCAGGTGGGGATCACTGTGAGTTTGAGGCCAGCCTGGTCTACAAAGTGAGTCCAGGACATGCAAGACTACGCAGAGAAACCATCTAAAAAAAAAAAGATGAAGGGCAGGGGAGATGGCTCATCGGTTAAGAGCACTGGCTGCTCTTCCAGAGGACCAGGTTTAATTCCTAGCACCCACATAGCAGCTCACAACTGTCTGTAACTCCTGTTCTGGGGCTCTGACTCCCTCACATATGCAGGCAAAACACCAGTACATAAAATGAAAGTAAATGTTTAAAATTTTAAAATATATCTATATATATATAGCAGTCTGTGTGCTCATATATCTGGTTGTGTTCTTTGGTTGCCAGATACCCCACTGCATGGCTGTGCCACATGTTCACCCACTTACCAGTGAGAGAGTGCTTGGGTTGCTCTTCCTTTTTGCCTGTTTTAAACAGAGCGGTTATGAGTTCGTATAACAGGCAATATATGATTTTCTCTAGGGTGACTTGTTCATATGACAATTCCATGTTGAACCTGTAGAGGGCAGTTTTACCCTTTTAGTGGCTTTTGAGTGTTTGCTTGTTTTGGATCTCTTCTCTTATAGATGAAATAGGAGAAGCAAAGTCGTCCTGTGCGTTTGTGCTTTTCTCCAAGGTCGGAAATGCTCATAGGTTTAACGCCTGTGCTTTGTTTCCTCAGACTCTGTACACACACATTGTGACCGACATCAAGAACATAAACGCCAAACACAAGAACAATAAAGTGAATGTGGTAAGTGCCCTTCGCTTCCCGTGCTTGGAGCTTTGTGCCGCCCGTACATTGAGCCTTTCTCCTCTCTGGCTCCGTAGGTGCTGCAGAATTTCATGTACACCATGTTGAGAGACAGCAATGCAACTGCAGCCAAGATGTCTTTGGATGTGATGATTGAACTGTACAGGAGGAACATCTGGTACCACATACGGATTTCTCTCATGAGAAATAGACTTACTTTTTTACTCATAACGATCACAGAGCTCATGCATAAGTGTGGCTGTTAACGTTGCTGTTGTTGAACTCTTACACTCTTTAACATACCTCTATCATACATTGGCATTGGGCATAGAATGCAGAGGCATTCTGATTGGCTGGTTCTTTTGTCAGCTCAGCACAAGCTGGCATTATCTGGCTAGAGACCTCGGTTGAGAAAAAACGACTCCATCAGATGACCTGAGGCTGTCTGTGGTGCATTTTCCTAATTAATGATGGATGTTGTGGGCAGGCACAGCCCATGGTGGGTGGTGTGATCCTGGGGTGGTCCTTAGTTGTTCAAGAAGACAGGTTGAGTAAGCCATGAATGAGGGGCAGGCCAATAGGCAGCACTCTACCAAATCTCTGCTTCAGTTCCTGCCTAGCATTCCTCAGTGGTAGAATAACCCGCCCCCCCCTTTTTTAAGCTGTGTTGGGATTTTGCTAGATTTTTTTTAATGTTTTTGTTTTTGTTTTGTTTTTTGATTTTTCAAGATAGTGTTTCTCTCTGTACCTTTGGCTGTCCTGGACTCACTTTGTAGACCAGGCTGGCCTTTACCTCCCTGAGTACTGAGATGAAAGGCACGTGGCACCACGCCCAGCATTTAATGTCTTTAAATTTTTACTGTATTATTTTTCTTCTGTGTGTGCAGATTTGCACACGTCATGCATGTGTGTGGTGAGGGCGCAGGGCCAAGCTTGGCATCAGCTATCTTCCTCATGTGTTCTCTACCTTCTCCAAGGAGACACAGCTCTCATTTGAGCCTAGTGGAACTCAACTGAATTGGTTCTGCTAATCTAGTTAGCTGTGGGGATCCTGTTTCTGCCAACAGGCCACCATGCCCCCCTGACATGAGTGCTGAGATCTGAACTCAGTCCTCTTACTCCATCAAGCACTTTTCCCACTAGCCATTTCTTCAGCCCCGGGTTTGGTACATTGTAGGTTTTTCTGTCTGAATTTTTGGCATTTTAGTTTTTGTTTTCATGACAGTTACGCTAAGTGGATTCCTTGGCATCAAATGTTCTTCCTCTCAATGGCTTTAAGTTGTGTGTCCTGACCCTGAGCTGGGATTTGATGAAGTAATCTGCCTGTGCTGGTCCTTTAATGGTTTATCACTTTAAATCCTAGAATTGACCATCCTCATGTCAGACATACTCACTGTTTGTTTTGTGCCATTTTCTCTTCCAGGAATGACACCAAAACTGTCAATGTTATCACAACTGCATGCTTCTCCAAGGTCACCAAGGTGAGCTGCAGGGCTGTGTGGAAGCATAGGGTCTGGGCTGAAGTGAAAATGGGTGTGCCAGAAGGAAATGGCTGGTATTTACTCCTTCATGCTGTAAAGGTCATGTAGTTCTAGTTGATGCCCGTGAGCATGAGCTAGGAAAGCAATTCTGTAAAAAGAAACCCCATCAAGCCAGCTGTATGATATTGGCAAAATAATGGCAGAAGTTTATCCACGATGCCTGACTTCTCTTCTCTCAGGCTCTAGTGCAATTGAAAGGAACACAAAGACAGTGTCTGACTTCTAAGAAGGGCTGTGATGGCTCTGTTCTTGGAGTCATGTCGACACTCTTGGCGGACTACCTGAAGAGTAACTGTATAAAGCCTGGCAGATACTTGTTGAAGTCACAGTGTTTATTGATAGACACGAGTATATAAAGGCAGTGATTAGATGCCTCAGCCTGGGTGCTGGCCTCAACTCCATGTGTGTGCTGTGAAGCCTGAGGCTGGTCCATCCTCGTCAAGAGCAGAGCTAACCTCTTCTTCATGTGACATGAACCTGACAGGTTTTTTTATTTAATGCATGATTGATTTGGGGGTGCCGGGAATGGAACCCAAATATTGGCTTACTCTCAAGCTTGTGCTCTACCATCGAGCTATATCCCTCCCCTATCCATCAGACACAGCAGTGTTGCCCGAGCGATGGGAGTGTAAACAGGGGTCTGCATTTGCTGGATAAATTGATTGTTTTCTCGTTGGTTTTAGATATTAGTTGCTGCTTTGACGTTCTTCCTTGGGAAAGATGAGGAAGAGAAGCAGGACAGTGACTCAGAGTCCGAGGTGGGTTTCATGGGGGTCCGTAGACGTGTCATAGTTCCTCTTGTGTTGCTCCTCTGAATTCAGACTGTAAGACTTTCAGAAGAAAAACATTCTGACAGTTTTTGATGTAATGCCGACATCACAAAAGGAGGAAAGAGAGAAGAGTATTGTAGTCTCTTTAACAGCAAAGTTTGTTATAAATTTTTTTTCTTAGATATAAAAAGAAATTCTTTTCAATAAACATCCTAAAATAACATAGATACATATAAAAAATACATCTATATAGAAACCTACACAAGCATTGTGGCATAATACACACCTATTAATGCTGATGAACTTACCTTATTAAAACACCAGACACCTGTAACTCCAGCTCCTGGGGACTCCACGCCTATAGTCTAATGGCCACGTGCGCACGCGCGCGCGCACACACACACACACACACACACACACACACTTACACATAGTTAAGATAACTTTCTGAACAAAAGGGAATGTAGTTGAAAGGATTGCACACTGCTTCTGTGCAGATTTTCCTTGTGTCCAGTTCCCCAGTGTAGTTTGTTCAACAGGATGACGGACCCACAGCCAGAGACCTGCTGGTTCAGTACGCCACGGGGAAGAAAGGCTCCAAAAACAAGAAGAAGTTGGAAAAGGCAATGAAAGTGCTAAAGGTGAGCTTTGTGTCTGGAAAATTCAGTAAGAATGCATGGTGTTTAGCCAGCGCTTTGAAGGTGCTGGAATTAAGAGACGGGGTTAAAAACAAACCTTAGAAATGTACGAAGACTTGTAAGCATTAATATTTTCAATGAGTAGGTTATGTTCAGCTCAGACAAAACTGATTTGAATAAATTTACTTGATTAACTTTAACTAGACCTGAGTTCTTAGAACAACATGAAAAAGTGTTTGGTATTTGGTGATGGTTATTCCAGCGATCATTAGTTTGACCCGCGTGGAGTCTGTGGGAGAGGGTGTGGGCATTAGAGTCTACTTGAGGGGGTGACTGTATGTGTGTGAACATGGTATGGGTTGCCAAAGGTCAATATTGGGTGTCTTCCATTGCTCTGCACCTTACTTTTTGAGAAAGCAGCTCTGACTTACTGTAAATGCCATGACCCACCCGTGTCTGCCTCCTGGGGTGACAGGGCACACCACCATACCCCACCTGGGTGCTGAGGCTCCAGACTGAGCTCCCCAGGCTCAACGGCAAGTGTTTCCCAGCTGAGCCGTCTCCCCAGCCTCTGTGTGGTCTTAGTGCTTGAATCTTAAGTTTCTTCAGTCTCACACATTTTAATAGCTGATATATTTTCAAAGGCTTTTTTTTTTTTTTTAATGTTTTTTGAGACAGGGTCTCACTACATAGCTCTGGCTGTCCTGGAACTCTTTATGTAGACCAGACTGGCCTCGAACTCACACAGATTCGACTGCCTCCACCTCCCAAGTGCTGGGATTAAAGGCATGCGCCACCGTGCCTGGCTTCTCAGAACTTAAAAGGCAAAAACCAACTTTAGTTCTTAAGATGAAAAGAAATTTTTAGATCAAGGAGAGTTTTGTTTTGCTTTGTTTTGTTTTCTAAACTGGTGTAATGGGGCAGGGAACTGGTTCAGTGTGTGAGAATGCTACTGTGCAAGCATGATGACCTGAGACCAGATATCTACCACAAGCCAGATGTGGCAGCACACATCCGTAACCCCAGCTGTGATGGGAGAGGTGACACGTGGGTCTCTGCAAATTGGTAACATGCCAGTGTTGCTGGAAGACAGCAGCTCCAGTTCAGTAAGAAACCTTGTTTGAGCGAGACAGGCAGCGTGATAGAGCGGTACACTGGCATCTTCCCCCACTGGGCACATAGTACACAGATGGTCTGAGGCCTTCAGGGCACACAGGACACAGCCTGGCTACTAGACTGGCTGATTGGACACTCAAAAGAACTCTGAGCAAAGGGGTTTTGAACTATTTTCTCTTTCAGAAACAAAAGAAGAAGAAGAAGCCAGAAGTGTTTAACTTTTCAGCCATCCACTTGATTCATGATCCCCAAGGTACCATAATTACTACTTTAGGTTCCTTGTTGGCCTTATTACTTCCTGTTTTCTTATTCCTGTTTTAGATCAGTATTTCTTAATTGAGTCACCCAGGAAACTGGGTAAAGTGCAGATTCCAGCCATTAAGGTGCAGGTGTGGCTTTGGAGCCTGCACTTTCGAGAAGGTAGATTTGTCTGCAGACCACACCTTCAGATGCAGACTGTATCCAGAGTTGCTGTAGGTGTCGGTGCACACACATCTCAGGACTCTGTATTTGTGTATTTAAGAACATGTATGTACATACGGACACATGTACATGTAACAACGATTAATGAAAAAAAGGCAGGCAAAGGTATATGGGAAGGTTTGAAGGGTGGAAAGAGAAAGGGGAAATGATATGATTATACTATAACCTAAAGAAAAATTATTTTAAAAATAGCTCTTAGGAATCCTGGGCTGAAGAGTTACCCTGGTGGGTATGGACTCTGGCTGTTTTTGCAGAGGACCCAAGTTTGGCACTTAGCACCCACATGGGGTGACTCACAGTGCCAGCCCAGCTCTCGGGGATCCAACGCCCTCTTCTGGCTTCTCTGGGCACCTGCGCACAAGTGCACATACATGCAAGCATACGCATAAAGAAAAATAAGTATCTTCTTTTAAAAACGTTAAAAATCACCTCAGTGGTGGCACATGCCTTTAATCTCAGCACCCAGGAGGCAGAGGCAGGCAGATCTGAGTTCCAGGCCACCCTGGTTTACGGGGTGAGTTCAAGGGTAACTATACTTCCATAGTGAGACCCTGTCTTTAAAAACAAACAAACAATTAACTAACTAGAAATGCTGGAGATGAGCTTGGAGTACCATACTTGGTCTTTGCACCAGTATAACTTCGCATTCCTTTGCCTGTTAAAAACTGCTCTGCAGCCATGAGCCCACGGTTACTCTCTGATTCTTTCCAGACTTTGCAGAAAAGCTTCTGAAGCAGCTAGAGAGCTGTAAGGAGAGGTTTGAAGTGAAGATGATGCTCATGAACCTCATCTCCAGATTGGTGGGAATTCACGAGGTGTGACACCGCTGTTTCCTGGTGGATGTGAGGGCTGTGGTGGGCTTGGTGAAGAAAAGCTGTTCTGTAGAACAACGTCTCAGTTTTGTTCCCCATACCTCTAGCAGTTAGGATCAGCAGGAGGCCCAGCCTTTCCATCTGAAAGCAGCTGCTTTTATTCCCACTGTTTTCTTCCCAGAGCAGATGAATACTGGTCTGTGCACATTCAGTTCCTGTGTAACTGTTAACGTGCTCTGTTTGTACTTGTTACTTTCACATGCATGTTCCTGAGCCAGGATACATGTTGGTTCTTGCTGCCTTTCTGGGTGCCTAACCCTTCCTGACCATGACTTCTGGTTGTCTCTGGTTGGGAGTTGCTATTCTTGTGCGATCTGTCTCTCTCTCTCTCTCTCCCCCCCCCCTCCTCCATCCCCGTGTGGGTGTGTGGGTGTGTGTGTGGGGGGTGTACGTGTGGATACTTCTTAGAAGAGCTACCTTTAGGAAAAGATTACCAAAAATTTAGGCCACAAAGAAATGTGCAGTGCATGTGTTCAGTGCCCATGAAAGCCACAGAGAGCTCTGGGTGCTCTGGAACTGTAGGATTACAGGTGGCTGTGAGTCAACGTGATGGTGCTGGGAACAGAACCGTAGTCCTGTGGAAGAGCAGCCAGTGCTCTTACCGGCTGAGCCATCTCTCCAGTCCAGTTTTCTGACTTGGTTGTCATGACTGGTTCTGTTCTGGGATGGTTGACCATGTTGTTTTCCATGGTTAAATACAGAGCGCAGAGTCCTCCCTGTAGTGCGGTTGGACTAGAAGACTGTGGGGTCAGGGCTGTCGGGTTGTAGCACTCTTTAATACCACAAGTGCTGTCACATCTGCCCTGTTCAGTACTGGGGCTTTAGTGCCAGCGCTGGTCCTGGTCTTGCTCCCCTCTGTGAACACCAGGACCGAGCTCAGCAGCCAGGCCAGTGTCAGAACCAGAGAGTGTTGGGTTTGTTTGCCTTTCCCTGCTTTATTCTGCTCTTTCTCTCTCCCATGGTAAGAAAGCAGGATAGTGTTGGGAGAAAGCCCTCTCCCTGGGTTATGGCAGCATTCAAGTTAGCTGTGAGGAGATTACTTTTTGAGACAAAGTGAGCCAAGGTTAATTTCTAGTGTTTATCTTAGTGATGAAATTAGGTGATGGAAAATAAAATTTTATGCTCAAGTTTCATACATATTAAAATTGGTACATTCTTCTCTCCACAGCTTTTTCTCTTCAACTTCTACCCTTTTGTGCAAAGGTTTCTCCAGCCCCACCAGAGAGGTAATCTGCCTGTGTGTCTAGCCCTTGGTGGCCCGTCTGTTGTTCTGGTGTCATTAAGGACAGATGAAGTTATGTTAAGTTGAACATGGCTTTATTTTTCTATTCACTAACTAGAAGAAATGTTTGTTTTGTTTTTTTTTTTTTTTAATCAACAAATTTCTCAAGCAAGTCTCTGAGACAGGAGAGGTAGCTCAGATGTTAAGACCAGATACTGCTCATGCAGAATATCGGATGAGTTCAGTTCCCAGTACCCACTTCAGGCTGCTCCCTGTCCACTTTAACTGCAGCTCTGTGGAATCCAGTGTTCTTTGTCTTTGTGGGCACTGCACTTATGTGCACAGACACACACACATATACTCAAATAAAGATAAAGCCTTGCTTTTTAGCAAGTCTCTTTGTAATATAAATTCTGTACGAAATTCTAGTTTGGGGCTAAGAGATGGCACAGTAGTTAAGAGCACTCACTGCTCTTGCAGAAGACCTGAGCTCACTTCCCAGCATCCACATGGTGCCTGTTCACAGGACTTTGTGTTACTGTTCTCCGAGGCCTTGTGTGCGTTCTTAGCAATGACACAAATGCACGGAAAGGTGGTTGCTTCTTTTGCCTTTGGAACTTAACCAGAAAGGAAGGAAGTAAACATTTGGGCATCTCACATGACCCTAGCACTGTGCTAAGTGCTTTCCATACATCCTTGGCTCAAGTAAGCTCTTTGAAGTATAAAAGTGTCCAAGAGCATTTCAATTAAACAACAAATCAGCCTTTCTTACTCAAAGTTTGTTGGCTGTCGGAGGCTTTTGTATTTTTTAGAAACTCTCACTATGCATGCTTGGCTAGCCTAGAACTTCCTGTGTAGAGCAAGCTGGCCTTGAATTCACAGAGACCCGCCTGCCTCTGGCATGCACCATTGCACCCAGCTTGATACTTGTTTGTGTTTGAAACAGGATCTGGCTAGCCCAGGCTGGCTTAAAGTGGAGCGGGTCTCCTGTGTCGGCCTCGCGTGTGCTGTACTTACAGACATGAGTCCCTGTGCCTCTTTCCAGGCCTTGGAACTTCTGTGCTGCCTCTTGGAAGAAAGCGTGTCCATGTATCTATATTTGAGTTTGTTCAATAGATGCTTGTTTGTGACTTGTTTGGTTAGTTTGGGGCTTGAGACAGGGTTTGGTATGAAGCCCCGGCTGGCTCCAATCTCAGGATCCTTCTCTCTCCGCTACCACTCTCAAGTGCTAAGATTGTAGGTGTGAGCTACACACAGAGCCTTCTTGGTGGTTTCTCTGCATGCACAGAAAGCCAAGGAGAGCGGTACGTCTGTTAGACACTAAGATTCCCAGTGACCATAAAGCAGAGTCCTCTCATCAAATCCGTATTCTGGAAAGTGGTCTAGACAGTGCTGTGTATCCAGGGCAAGTGTTTGGCTGAAGAAAGCAGTTTAAGGGCATCAGCAGGTGTGGTGGCGGGAGCTATGTCAGGCTGCAGTATCAGGCAGGGCCTTTTTGATTAGGTAGCAGCTGAGCAAAGGGCCTGAAGGAGGCAAGAGGCAACCCATTCGGATAGGTAGGGGTTGGTGCTCAGGTAGAGTAAGTTGAGTGACAGTCACATGATAGCTGAGTTTGCTTGCCTTGTTGCTGTAGTCCTGGACACAGTGACAGAGTGTGCCCTTTCTCGTCTCTTATGCTTTCAGAAGTCACGAAGATCCTTCTATTCGCTGCACAAGCCTCTCATCATCTTGTACCCCCAGAGGTGAGACTGCTTCCCCTGACTTGTGAGTCGAGTGTGTGCAGGGGTGCTACTGTTAGGCACATTGGGGTTTCTCCCAGAACTGCTGTCTATCTCCTTCATTAAATGAGCAGAGGAGGCCTCTCCCCTAGGAGATGCACACACGTCAGCCCTGCAGTCACAGAAAGGAGCAAGCCGCAGGTTCTGACCTTGATTAATAACTGAGTTTTGTGACTAGGAAGTTTCAAGGATAATTGTAAGTTCTTGGTGATTTTGTTTAAACCTCGTAATTCTTTTCTTTGACCAAGAACATTGAATTATCCTGTGTCAGAACAAAGTTTTGTTTTGGTTTTGTCATGGTTGGAAACAACGTAATGGAATTAATGCCTTAAGAGGGTAGGCGTGGGGGCTAGCGACCCTGCTTAGTTGGTGAGAGTAATTGCTGCTCTTTGGGAGACCCAAGCTTGGTTCCTAGACCCCGTTAGACAGCCCACAAACCGCCTGTAATTGTCTGGAGCTCTCCTAGCCTCTGGCCACCAGCACACCAGACATACACAGACACACACACATAAATACAAAACAAAACTCTTTGAAAAGAAAGCAGAAGCAACACCATTTGGGAGAAGGAAGAGAACAAGCTAAGGTGAGTAGGGAGTACACTGGAAATGCAGAACAAAGAAACGGCGTGTGTATAAGAATGCCATAATGAAACCTGTTACTTCATAAGCCAACCTAAAACATTTAATTCAAAATAAAAGTGGAAAATCATGTTGTAGGCCAGTCCTGTGTCTCAGGGGAGAAAAGTACTTACCACAAAACCATGACAGCATGAATTCAATATCCAGAACTCACTTAAACCTAGATGCGGTTGTGTGGGTCTGTAATCCCAGCACGCCTACCAAGAGATGGAAAGAAGAGATCAGTTGAAGCAGGAAAATCTCCCCCAAAGTCTCCCCAAAGAGCAAAGGCCAGCTAGCTTCAAAGGTGCAGCTAAGGGCTGGAGAGATGGCTCAGAGGTTAAGAGGATTGACTGCTCTTCCAAAGGTCCTGAGTTCAACTCCCAGCAACCACATGGTGGCTCACAACCATCTGTAATGAGATCTAATGTCCTCTTGTGTCATGCAGGTGTACATGTAAGCAGAACTCTGTATAAATAATAAATAAATTAATTTAAAAAAAAAGAAAAAAAAAAGGTGCAGCTAAGAGAAACCAGAGACCTGCTTCAGTGAGGATAAGGCGAGACTGACAGCAGCAAGTTGTCCTTTGACCTCCACACATACGCCTTGGTGAGCGTGCCCAGGCACACGCCCTGTACACGTGCATTCTCTCCTCTCGCACACACATTAAAATAGTAAAAATTTTAAAAAGGGACCCATGTTAAAGGACAATAAAGTTCTCTCTTGTGTTCTTAGTCTTGATCCTCAGCTCTGTCCTGGAGGTTGAGGCTGCCTTTGCATGGAGCAGTCTGCTGCACTCAGGAAGCAGGGACCTTTCACCCGACTCCCCTCCTTTGTTTCCACCCCAGATTATTCAGTCATTGCTCATGACGGTGGCCAACAACTTTGTTACTGACAAGAACTCTGGGGAAGTCATGACTGTAGGGTACGTAGAACATGCTTCGGGACAGTAGTTTGGTGTATCAAGATGAACAGTTCAGCTGGAGGTGTGGCTTCTAAAAACACGGTCTTCTCTGGAGGCTTTGTATTTCCATTTAATGGTCAGAAGTCTGAGGGGGGAACCAGATTAAAAAAATTCTTGTCCTGATCAGCCATGTGATGTTTTACAGTTTTCTAGTCTTAGGTGAATGACTGTTTACTAACCTAAGTTTTCTTTTTATCCCAATATAGACTTGTCTTAAGCTGAAACAAGTCATTTGTTAATGAGTAATTCTAGAGACCTTGGTAGCCCTTTTGTAAATGATATGCTAAGAAGTTACTTTGTATCTTCCTTGCAAACTACTGCTGGAATAACAGTCCTAAAAACCTTTAACCTTTCAATTTGACTTCATGCTTTCCCTCACTGCCATGACACACTGGTCCTTGTCACATGGCAGAGGAAGAGTGACTGTGGGGAATATGAGTATGTGGGGCTGTTCGCTCTCACATGCTCTGCCACACTGCAGGGTTCGGGCTGGGGCCTCTAAAATCCAGCCTATTCCTTTCTTATTTTCAATTCATTTTTTTCCGTTTTTAGAATCAATGCGATAAAAGAAATCACAGCTCGGTGTCCTCTGGCCATGACTGAGGAGCTGCTTCAGGACCTGGCTCAGTACAAGACACACAAAGACAAGAGTGAGTGGCATGTCATTCTCTGAAGGCCAGGGAGTACAGTGTGGCTCAGTGCCACCTCACTGTCTTTGCTTGAGACTTTCTAATCAAAGGTATCTTACAGATGTGATGATGTCTGCCAGAACCTTGATTCATCTCTTCCGGACACTGAACCCTCAGATGTTGCAGAAGAAGTTCCGGGTAGGTGAAGCAGACTTTGGTTGGTCTGTAGATTGTGGTCCCAGAAAGTGAGGGCAGTGTCTGCAGCTCACATGTTAGATTAGTTATGCTTCCCTGGGGAGCGTGTGAGATGCGTGTGGGTCTGTTGTTGAAGCTTAGGGTGGACTTGATTGAATTCTCTGGTCCTCAGCCCTTGTAGCTGACATGTGCTCTGTGATGACAGCTGAGTCCACTGGGCTGTTTGCAGTTGACAGTCTTTGATGCACAACACAGCCAGGTGCTGCCTTCTTCAGCAGAGGGGAAGCATGACACACAGCCATGGCGCTGTTGAGATTTGCAACATCTAAGCAGCTAGTTAGACTTTACAAAGGCCAGTTTCTCAGTTTAGACCAGAAGACAGAAAGGAGTGAACTGGATCCTGGGGTTACGTGGTTTCCAGACTACGTTGGCTGTTCCTATCATTTGAGTATTCCATCTTTTCATAGTGTTCTTATCCTAGAGGGCTTTTATAATGAATTTTCAAAATCTAAGCGCTTTATTTTTAAATAATTTTCTCTTGTAGGGTAAACCTACTGAAGCCTCCATCGAAGCAAGAATACAAGAATATGGAGAGTTAGACGCTAAAGATTACATTCCAGGAGCGGAGGTTCTAGAGATTGAGAAAGAAGCGAATACAGAAAATGATGAAGGTTCGTTTGCCTTCCTTGCCTTTCCTCTTGCTGGGGATTGAAGCTAGGTTCTCACTCATGCTAGGGAACCTCTAGCCCCTGAACTACGTGGGAGGATTGGAGAGCTTATCATGTGTGGTAGGGTATTTGGTCAGTGTTAGTCCCCATTCCTTAAATCAAATAAGTGGCTGTGGCAGAGGACAGCAAATGTCTCCTGGCTCAGTCAGTGGAATATATGAGGTTCGTTACCTTCGTTCTCAGCACTGCTGATTAGCTCAGCTTGCTGTAACTACTCAACATGAACACATCAGTGAGTTCTCTTTCACACAGATGGATGGGAAAGTGCCAGCCTCAGTGGGGAGGAGGAGGAGGAGGAGGATGGTGAATGGGTCGATGTGCACCACTCTTCTGACGAAGAGCAGCAAGCAATCGTAAGTCCACATGTCATCTCAATGTGCGTCACTCTGGTGTTTACCAAGATGTCATTTTTGGTGGGCCATGTTGACATTTAAATGACTGAGCTGGCACTTGAGCCTGGTAGCCATTTATTTTTTTTTTGGCTGTATGCTTTTCAAGGCCAAGAAACTGGACAGCATGCCCATGGAGGAGCGGAAAGCCAAAGCTGCAGCCATCAGCACCAGTCGAGTTTTAACACAGGATGACTTCCAGAAAATCCGCATGGCCCAGATGAAGAAAGAAATGGATGCTGCCCCTGGGAAGGCCCAGAAAAGGAAATACATCGAAATTGACAGTGATGAGGAGTCCAGGTGAAAATGGCACGTCCCAGGCTTGCAGTCAGCTTGCACGGCAGGGAGAGTATCAGGGGCAGGATTCCACCCTCATCTTTGTTTTATTGTCCCTCACCACAGGGGTGAATTGCTGTCTCTTCGGGACATTGAACGCCTTCACAAAAAGCCCAAGTCTGACAAGGAGACAAGACTGGCAACTGCAATGGTGAGCGGGGCATGGCATTCTTCCTTTTGTAAATAGAGAGCAAATAAAATGACCCATTAATCCCCAGCATATGTAGCCATGAACTTCCTGTCTCTTTTAAAGGTATACTTAACATAGAATAAAGTGCACCATTATTGGGTGTTGAGTTAGGTAAGTTTTGTGCTTTACTTTGAGATAGGAAGGAGCTTAGATAACCCATAAGCAATCTTTTATAACCCATAATCCATGCCTGTCTAAAGCTTTAATTGAGGATGACCTTGGATTCCTCCCCCTCCTGCCTTTACTTAGGTGGTTTGCAAACATGTGCTGCCATTTTTGGTTTAGGCAATGGTGAGGATAAGGACCCAGGGTCTGTGCCAGGCGGGCATCCAACCAACTGAGCCACATCCCAGCCAAATTAGATGAGAGATTGGTTTGGTTTGGTTTTGGTGCATTTTTTTGTTGGTTTTGTTGTTGTTTGGTTGGGTTTTTTAATTGTTGTTTTTGAGACAGGGTCTCTCTAAACAGCTGTAGCTGTCCTGGAACTCGCCATGTAGACCAGGCTGGCACTGAATTCAGGCGTCAGCCTACGTCTGCCTCCCAAGTGTTGGGATTAACGTTGTGTGCCGCTGCGCCTGGCATTAGATGAGTTTTGGAACTGTGTATAGCCATGTGACTACCATCCAAAACAAAATACAGAGGACAGAAATGCAGGGCCGTGTGTTCGCGGTATCCGAAGGCCTAGCACACTTACTAAAGGAAAATACATTGACAGTCAGAGTTGGCCTGCAGCTCTTGCGGGTGCCGCTCCGGTGTGCGCAGTGAGTGTTCTCAGCTGCTGTCTGTGAGGCATCGTTGCACCGTAGCTCCTCACTTTTGCTTCTGTTTGAATAGAGACCCATCTATGTAAGTTTAGAACTCAGCGTTCTTTCCACACGCCTTTCCTGCACTCCTTCCACACTCTAATGTCGGTCCCTTCTCTGTTCCCACCATGCCGAACACAGCTTGGCCTTCCAGGCATCATGCTGAATCAGGACAGTTCCTTTCACTAAGCTCAACCTTGTCTCGGTTGGACTGAGTCCTGGGGAGCAAGAGCTGTGCTCTGTCCCTCTTGTTCTTGGCATCCGTCAGAGTGATTAGATAATGCCTGAGGTGTGTTATGTATAAAGAAATCTCTTTGTGCTACTAGGCTGGAAGGACAGACCGAAAGGAGTTTGTGAGGAAGAAAACCAAAATAAATCCATTTTCCAGTACCACAAATAAAGAGAAGAAAAAACAGAAGAACTTTATGATGATGCGTTACAGCCAGAATGTCCGGTCAAAAACAGCACGCTCCTTCCGCGAGAAGCAGGTGGGTTCTGGGTGAGGCCTGGATGCTGAGACAGCCTTTTGTTTGACAAGAGGGGTACCTTCTGAGGACCACAGACCATGAGCCAAGTGAGTGCTCTGAGGCTGGGAGCAGTCAAGATGGGAGAGCCTCAGACCTGAGTTGATAGGGGTCACCCTGTGTCCCTTGGTTGACCCAGCATCTTTTCTGTAAGTAAGAGAAGCAAGCTGGATCCCTCTGAGTCCCAGTTCCATGCTAAAGTAGTCCTCTGACCTGTGAAGGAGATTGAATTGATACAAGTTTTGCATGGGGCTTTGCAGAAGGTGCTGCTTTGGTGTAGGACAGAGGAACGCAGTCCTCAACGCACAGCTCTGTCGTGTTGAAATCTGTCCTTTCACAGAGCACATTTTGTGTTTACCAGCCTTTGGGATTTCCTTTTATCCATTGTGGCTTAGCTGGTTTGCTGGCCCCTTTTAAGACAGGGTCTTATGTGAACTCACTCAGGCTGGCTTTACTGGGAGAGTCACTTGCTTCAGCCATCTAGGTGCTGCTTTGCTTCATGATTGCAGGCATGTGCTACCATTTGTGGTCTATCTCATGCTGCCCTGGTGGCCTGCTTATGTCAGTGAGGCACTGTAATAGTGAGTTGACATCGTGCAGCTTTCTGTCCTGGGAGCATACCGGAGTTTATCACGTGTCGTTCTGAGGCAGCTGTGGAAAACCAGTTCCAGGCTACGTGGTCTCTGAGCTTCCTTTCCTCATAGCCAGCCAACGACAGCCTTCCAAGACTGAGTGTGGTGGCTGGCCCTCTAGACGGCTCTGACTGCACGGGCACCACCACCTGAACTCTGTCTGTCTGTCCTTATTCTTGTAACCTGTGTTTAACAGGTGCAGAAAAAAACATGATGGCATTTCTAAATAAAGGCTCTAAATTTGAACTGACTTTTTCTGTCCTTCAGAGCCTTCCTAACATCTGAGGTTGAGGACAGCCACCCTTTTGGCAGCCTGGCTTCAAATGAGGTTTAATTTAGCTAAGGCATCAGCCCCCTCCCCATTTCCTGTTTTATAGAATGTCTTTTTTTGGCATGATAGAGAAGCTGGGCTTTGATCCTTAATAGTGCCTTATTAAACATTTCTCTTGAGAGTAAAGAAGTTTTAGGACTAAATTAAGAATTCATTGAACACAGCTGTTGGTTTAAGATTGCTGTTGTTTATTCTTCCTGCATTTGTCTTGCTGCTTGGACTAAGAAGTGAGTCAGCATTTCTGAATGTTTTCTTGCCTTGCAGTTTCTTCAGAGTTTACTCATTATAAATCATAACTCTTAGCTGAGCAGCGGTGTCCCACGCCTTTGATCCCAGCACTCGGGGGGCAGGGGCAGGCAAATCTCTGACTTCAAGGTCAGCTTGGTCTACAGAGCAAGTAGCAAGACAGGGCTATACAGAGACACTCTGCCTCGAGGGAAACTTAAAAATTAGGAGCCTAGGTTAGTGAGATGGCTGATCAGGTAAAGTCAGAAGCCATGAGGTGCTGAAAGAGAATCAGTTCCACAGGGATGCCCTCTGACCCTCAAGGGGTGCTGTGGCACATCCACATTTCCTCCTCCCCTCCCCCCACACAAGAATAAAACATTTTTAAGTTAAGATCCTGGATTAACTAGGAAGAAATAAACGTTTCTTGGGCTTAATATTTTGACTCCTAAGCTAATATATTCAAGTCTGAGCTGTTGAAGTTACAGGTGACGTATGGTAAGATTATCATACTTGGCAGCAATCACCATTACCCACTGAGACCTATTGCTGGCCTGCACTGGACCCTTTAGGGAATATTTTACCACGTGGTGTTTCTAGGAGAGTTATGGACCTTTATGACCGAGTTAGCGTAACAGATTCTTACTGTTGATGTTGATTCTTCTCTTGCAGTTAGCACTACGAGATGCACTTTTGAAAAAGAGGAAAAGAATGAAGTAACTTACCAGCAAGTTATCCATTTCCCAATGCTGTGTGTATCAATATGCCGAAAATTAGTAAATATTTGCTTACATTAAAAAGTCAAGAAACACTCTATTTTGGAAACCACAATAACATTTGTAGCAACTTGGTGTTTTTAATTTAGAGGTGGGGCTGGTGTGAATGTGTGCTGTAAATAGCACTGATGTTAAAAACTCTTGACAGAAATACTGAGTGCCTACTACTTGTTGCTGCGAATGTATGCTGAATGAGCCAGAACCCGCGCCCGAGGGCAGATGTATATATGGTGTTTGTAGTAAGCTGTAAATAGTCCCCTGTAGCAGTTAGTCCACATTCCTGGGGTCCCTGGGGCTCCTGGACCAGCTGCGCAGGGATGGGAGTTATTCACACTCTTCGAAGAGGACAGTGTTACAAGAGTAAGAGGTTCTTACTTGTAAATAGGCTTACCTGCTAAAGCAGGCTCCTGCTGTACATACAGATCCGGGGAGGCAACTGCGCTGTACTCTTATTTTATTTTTTTAATGTAAAGAATTTTGGCTAAGACCTTGTTTTTAAATTGCCTTAAATCTAAATAGTGACTTTGAAGTGTCTGGCAGGATCTGGTGGCATACACCCGTAATCCCACCCCTGGAAGCCAAGGCAGGAGGCTCCTGGTTTTAGAACCAGCGTGGGACATACTGAGTTAATTCAGGGGCAGCCTGGACTACACGGAGTGCAACCCTGACTCAAAAACAGAACCGTCTTTGAGCATTCCATTTGAGTGGCCTGTTCTGCTGTCTGCTGCTGTTGGAGTTTTGCTGGGCTGGGGATGAACCCAGGACCTCGCGCTTACTAACACTAAGCAGATTCTCTCTCTGCTGCTGAGCTGCATGTCCAGCCCTGAGAGCCTGCTCTTCACTGGGTTTGGCCAGTTCCCTTTCATTCAAAACTCGGCCCATTGTTCGCCTTGTTCTCAGCCAAAGCCTATGGGTTTTTGATATCAATAGCTGTGTGCAGTGGTGTGTGCTGTAAGTGGTCAGGAGTCCTTTGCAAGACCCGGGCTGCACGCACACTGCTGGGTGTAGAAACAGTGTGATGCCTTTTGCCTCAGATTTCTTAGGTAATCTTGTAGTAAGGAAGTGTTTGGAGTAGAGGAAAGGGCAGTTTTTTGTCCCTCAGAATTGGTGAGCAGCTTTCTGAAGTTTGCTTCCCCTTTTTCATTGCTCTGTTCAGTTTCTGAGTTCAGCTTTGGTTTTATTTATCCTGCCGCTTCCCCCCCTGGTTCCCTGGTCACTGTTAGGGGATTGCCCATCAGTCTTATTACCCCTGAGCAGCAGTGGAGGGAGTGTCCAGTCTGTATGTATCAGGCCTGAAATGGTCCTTGGCCTTTCTTCCTGTGTTCTTCGATGGGTGTCTGTTGCTCGTCAGGTGGAAAACAGCTGCAAGGCTCACCGCTGCAGCCATGCTTTGTGGCTTGTTTTAACTCCTCCTGCCGACAGCTCCCAGCTCCTGGGACTTGGCCACGCACTACCATGCCCAATTTCTGGGCTGCTGGGGGCGTACCCAGGGATTGGCATGTAAATCCAGAATACCAACACATCATCGGTGTGACGTAGCAGGTGTCACTGGTAAAGACAGCCTCGCCCGTCCTCTGCTGCTTCCCCGGCGCTAGGAAAGTGCCTCTTACAGTGCAGCCGGCACAGCAGGTGTGTGTGAGCCCATGAGTTCCCCTGCCTGCCAAGGCGCTGCCTGTAAGTGTTGTACTGCCTCTCTTGTAGTAAACTGTGTGTTGGTAGGGTTTTCTTAGGGGACTATTCTTTCTTTTAGTTACAGTTGCTGTGTTTGTTTTAACCATCAAACCCAACGTTTAGGCAGCTAATTTAAAACAGATACTGAACGTCCACCAAGTATAAAGCACCGCTAGGTGTTTGTGGCTACACACCAGTGTTTGTATCACGTTGACACTTAGTCCATTGGGAGAAACATGATGCGTGAAGATACAGCGGAGCTTCATCAAGATCCAGTCACTTCGCAAGACACACACTTGAGTCTTCACATTGCCTCATAACACACGTGGCTTCTGTCTCATGTGTTCCCAGCGCACATGGGGGGGCAGCACAGCTCTGTAAAACTAAGGCGACGTATGTAGGCATAATTTTTAAATGTTATGTTACAGTTAATACAAGTTTTGTTTGTATTCTGATTCACTGAAAATTTATGTTTGTAGAGTGTTACATTGACATTCTAGTAAAGTGGTTTTTTTGTTGTCGTTGTTCTGAGTATTCTGTGTAAGCTATTTTAAGGAATGTGTTTTTAAACTACATGCTCTCCCAGGTAGTGCCTTCTCAGTAGTTCTGATAGTTTTGGATTGTTTCCTGAGATTTAAGGAAGCTGGACCAGCCATGGTGACACACACCTGTAATCCCAGCACTTGAGAGTGTCGCAGGACAGGGGATGCTCTTGAGTTTGAGGCCACTCTGGGCTCCACAGCAAGAGAGCAAAACCCTGCCCAGGAAAGGGGTATGAAATGAGGGAGGGTAGAGGGAGCTTGACCACAGGAAGAAAGTTGGCAACATCTGGAAATTAGGTCTGAGCAGGCTCTAGGAATAACCCTTTCCTGGTCTTCTCTGGTTTCCACCTATGTAAAGACGCAAAGGAAAGAACACAGCTGCTACAGCAAAAGTTAAGTCACATAAACTGTTTTATAGGGTTCTCTATGTGTTATTTTCTCCTGCAGACTCTGCTTGTGCGCTTTATCAGTCTCATCTCAGTGTGTAAGTGGTTAAAGTATGAAAAGTGTTTGTAGTATAGTCCAGTATACCTGGAGGCAATTATAAAATATACAGAAAATGTGCCAAATATTCAAAAGGGGGCTTAGTGTTGGGGTTATGGATATGTTGTGTTTTCTTTCTACTTTCTGAGTCTTTCGCAGTATGTATGTTTTTATTTATATCATTGTGTAAGAAAAAAAAAAAATATATATATATATATGAGGTGAGGAATAAAGGTATGAAACGAATCGCTTTTGTGAAATTTCTGTGTAATTAAAGCACGGTGTAATTTTAAAGTGTTCCGAGGTATCTGTCTTCCCTTCCTCATTCTTTCCCTTGGCCTTCCAGTGTCTAGAAACATCCTCTAGGACCCTGTCTGAGTCCTGCCAGCAATGCAGTGTTGTCAAAAGTGCTGGCTCAATCTGTGTTTGGCCTCCAGCACCCACATGGTGGCTTCCCTGCTGTAACTCCAGGGGATCCGGTGCCCTAGGCACGCACATGGTGGGCAGACAGACATGCAGGAAACACCCACTTAAAAAATACCATTAAAAGAAAAGATTTTAATCTATTTTAAGTACCATCAACTTGATTTTTAAGAAAAAAAAAATGGCTTACAGTTTGCACATAGTCTTAAAAAAAAAAAAGCTTCAGGTTAAACTCTTTTCAAGAGTTTAGTCAAGAAAAATGATCCAGAACATGGCAAGAGTTGCAGGGTTTTTGTTTGGTTTCTTTGAGCTTTTGTATGAAAACATGCATTTGTGGTCGTTTCACCGCAGGTAACAGAAAATGTGTTTTAAACATTCTAACCAGATAAGCCCTTGTTTGTGTCCAGCTGCTGGACATTTGCCCAGGATCCAGGGATCCTTTTCTGCTCTGTCGGCCTCAGTGTGCTGAGGCTGGCCTCTGGCTTTGGATGCTGGGTCTGGTGTGCATGGCTGTGTGGCCTGCATACTCGCCTTTTCACCTCCAGTTTTCATCCCAAGAGTGCAGCATGCTCATGCTTCTGGCTCCTAAGCCACATTTCCCAGGAAAACCGTCCGCAGAGTTCTTCCCGCAGCCCCACCGGAGTGCACAGCCACCCTACCAACAAGAGATGGCAGGAAACAGGGCTCTGGACCCCTGACTCCACAGGCACCCTGACAGAAGCCTTCTGGCCAGGAGGAGGGGAACGGGGTGTGACTGGTGTCAGCCACAGCTTTCAAGGAAGTGGCCACTGCAACATGACATTAAGTGGTAAGAACAGATAGGTCTCTAAAGTTCGACAGCGTTATGCGCTATAGTTAGGTGGAATGTTGGCTACTTTCTTTTGCCGGGACCAACTATATGGCAAGAAGCAACTTAGGACAAGGAAAGACTTATTTTGACCCCCAGTTTGAAGGGATCCAACTTTTGTGGAAGGAGAGGCATGGCATAAGGAGGCACCCTGGGGCCAGTGTGTGACTGGGACTCCATCTCCAAGGACCAGAGGGCACAAAGCAAGCCTGAACCCCCCACTGCACCTCAGCCCACCTTCTCTGGCTGGCTCTCAGCTCCCACAGGTTCTCAACTCCAAGAACAGCACCCCAGCTAATGAGTCTGTGGAGAACACTTCACACCCAAGCCGCCACAGTTCAACCATTAAGCAACAATTGTTAGCATGATTTTAAGCTAAGGGACAAGCTGGATGTGTGGAACACCCCTATATCCCAGTATGAGGCTGAGGTTGAGGGGATGGCAAATTTAAAGGCTAGTTTCGGCTACACAGACCCTTCCTCAAAGCATACACAGGAGGTATCAACACTGCTAATGTGAAAAAAAAAAAACCCTTTTTAAAGCAGTGTGTGTGTGTGTGTGTGTGTGTGTGTGTGTGTGTGTGTGTATGTGTGTGTGTGTGTGTGTAGCCAGCGTTAGCTGCTTTGTGGGTTCTTCCATTCTTCTCTACCCCTTCTCTTCCACCCTTTCAACTCCCTAACACTAGATAAGGATGGGGGAAGAGATCTCTGAATAAAGTCAAGGGTTGGAAAGGGGTCAACATCATTAGATGACTTCCTGCTGATTAGGGGGTGTCCAGTTCCTTGGGGCAAGCTTGATCTTCGAGGTCAGGATATGTAATTTTGTCTTGTTTTAATTTGCACATGACTACTGAACAAACCGCAACCAGAAACAACCCATCATGCCTCTTGGGATCCTATAAAAAGTTTCCAGAATTGCAAGTTACACACAGCTGACAAAATCACACCTCCGCCAAAGCAGGAGGCAAATCGGAGTCAACTGCTGCAAAGCAGCCCCATACCCCGACACCTGGGATTAAGATGAAAACATATTCTTAGAATGTTTCTGTTTTTTAAAGGAACCAAAATTCATCTGGGCAGTGGTGGCATTTAGGTTTAATACCAGCACTCAGGAGGTAGAGGCAGGTGGATCTCTATGAATTCGAGGCTAGCCTGGTCTACAGATTGAGTTCTGGGACAGCCAGGGCTAAAACAGAGAAACCCTGTCTCGAAAAATCAAAAACTAAAAAAAGAAACCAAAATTCCAGTGTTCTTTCTACACACACACATATATATATGTGCATATATATATACACACACACACACACATGCCTACATATATGTTTGTGTGCGTGTATACTGATATTAAGGTGTTTTTTAACCTCTGGAATTGGAATGTATTTAAATTCTTTGTGTTCATATGACAGTTTTAGCATATTGTCCTGGCTTGCACATTCACAAACTTGGTCTCAGATCTTTACTTGTCATCTGTTAACCACTCAGGCACTAGCATGTGTGGAATGGGGCTTAGTAGCTAGTAACAAAATATAGGGGGGGAGGTAAAATTATTTAAGCTATTGTCAAAACAGACATAAAAGTACAAGCACCAGGGGCTTGTGATGGAGCTCACTGTGTGAGTGTGTGTGTGATGGAGCTCAGTCCGTGGAATGCTTATGTAGCATATGCACACCCCTGGTTCCAGTTCCCAGGACCATTGGAGGCCAGGCGTGGTTCTGCACGCCTGTGATCCCAGCACCTCATAGTAAGCCTGCGGGCTGCCTGGGACCCTATCTTAGCACTAAGGACACTTACGATTAACGAACTTTACAAACCGCATCACAGTAGTCAGCTAAGCAGGAGACATGCAACAGCTTAGAGCCCACGTTTTAGTAAGCTCTCAGATGCTGGAGGCGGCTGGTCATGGCCAACTTGCAGTCCAAGTGATGGAAGGCAGAGGCCCTGCAGCATACAGCATAAATCCAAAGCCTGCTTGGTGTGTGGAGCAAGTGCCAGGTGGCCTGGCTGTGTCTAAAAGCCGGCTCACCAAGGTGCTGTGTGTGTGTGTAGTCTTTGAGAAAGCCTCTCACTGAACCTGGACCTCACTGGGTGGCTAGGCTGGCCAGCTTGTGGGCCCCTGGAATCTGCCTGTCTCTCCCTCACCAGCTTCAGGGAGCCAGGCATGTGCCACCATGGGCAGGGCAGAGGGAATTGCTGGAGATTTCAAACTCAAGTTCTCATGCTCAAACAACAAGTGCTTTACCCACTGAGCCATCCTCCTCCCAGCCCATCCCTCCAAGGTGCTTAATGTGGAGGAGAGATATGGCAATTTGGGGAAATTAACCCCAAAGTGCAAAGAAGCTTAAGCAATATCTTAATTTCTATCTTTTAAAATACAAGACTAGATATGTGATTTTTTTTTTTAATAGAGAATTCTTTGAATGCAAACAGAGTCCTGGTAAGAGAGCATGTGATACACCTTATTTTCCCTTGAGACATTTATAGTAACGGTGTTTCTTTGAAATGGTTGCTGGATGTGAGCGGAAAGAATAGATCTGGCTGGCTTTTCTTTCTCTGTTTTTTAGACATTTTGGTAATTTGTATGTTAAATATTCACACAAAGCATCCTTTGCAAAACCAGAAACGGCTCCAGCTCTGTCTCAGCAAGAGGCAGTTGGGGTGGACCTGCTGTTCCTAAATCAGGGTTGAAGGGGGCCTTAAAAGGGAATTGGGCCAAGGAGTAAAACCAAATGGTGAAGTGGGGACTCCCATTCTAGGAAAGGCTGCAAAAGCAGAAGTTTAAAGGAATCACTCGGGAAGGAAATTAGGAGTAAAGATATTCATCACAACTTCCTGTTTCAGGGATACTTGAACCTTCCTCTTTTTAAAAGCATTTTATAACCGTGACTTTTAACATACACAGTTATAGAGCACGAGAAAACATTTACCAATTCAGTGTTAATAGTTTGATTTTTTAAAAGATTTATTTATTTTATTATATATACAGTGTTCTGTCTGCTTGCATACCTACACGCCAGAAGAGGGCACCAGATCTCATTATAGATTGTTATGAGCCAGCATATGGTTGCTAAGAATTGAACTCAGGACCTTCGGAAGGTTTGCCAGTGCTCCTAACCATCTCTAAGCCATCTCTTCAGCCTCCAAAATTTTTTTTTTTTCCTTAAAGAATGAAGGCATGAGAGGCTGGTGTCATGGTACGCACCTGTAATCCCAGCATTTGGGACTCAGGT